TCATCCCATTGCAATTTCCTTGGCAGAGGAGCTGGGCCAAGCCAGGCTGGTGCTGCTGAGCTTTCTCAGCTCTCATGTGAATAATTAATGGATAATTAATGTAAATAATTAATTCATTCATCCTCAGGGATATCAGGTGATGGTTTCTGCCTCAGCAGGGCCTGCCAGGTATCAGGAAGGGAAGGGTGAAGATAATTTTCTCCCCTCCCCAGAAAGGGAAATTAACCATGTGCTCACTGTGAGAAAATGCTGTCAGAGAGTATTGTCAATACCTGCCTTCCCAACACAGCAAGAATGGAAAACCTTGAGCACAGTATTGCACATTTTGATAAATTCTCAATCAGTATTTAATGTAAGAACTGCTGTGCTCCCCCATCTCCTCATTTCTTTGCTGCATAAAAAGCTCTCCCAGTGTCTTTATAAACTTGAGCTGAGCAGCCTTGTGAATAGTCCTGTAAATATATTTTATTGCCTTTCTCTGTCTTCACGTGGCTGTGAGTCTGGAGGACAGACTTTTCCCCAGCCTTTTCTGCCTAGAGCTCTGGCTTTTGGTTAAAATTGAGTTTTAACATCATCTTTCAACTGCCTTGGGAGCCAAAGAGGACCTGGCAACATCTCAGAAAGAAAGGGCTACAAGAGGATATTGAGGTAGGTGATTAAACTGATTAAAGCCAGAGCTCAGCCCTGGTCTCTCAACCAACAGGAATCAGAACCATGCACGAGGAATGAGATGCAGGGCTTCAAAGTCATGGTTAATTAAGCAGGAAAAGAAGGACAATATGGTATTACATCATTTACTCAGACCAACATGGGTGCTACATGCTGAACTGATGATTACTAAATTAATTCTACAGCAATGGCTGCATAAAAACAGATATTTAAACACTTCATGGCTCTATGCCCTTCACGGGGTGGATGTTTACCCCTGGACATTAATTTTACCATCAGATATTCCTCTCAGACTCTCTCCCATGAACAGCAGCTCTGTGTGTGAGAGGAAGATAACGAGGACAGCGTTTTTAATCATTTTTCATTTAATACTGAAAGTCTTAAAGTGGTTTCATGTGTTTGTTTCCTGCCCAGGAAGGGTATTCCAGCAAGGAGCCACTGGTTAGATTCCCAAAAAGCTGAAGCTCACAAGAAAACATTTACAGACATTATTCTCACAATCCCTTTCCAAAATCACCTGTCTACTGACTCTGTGAGACTGCAAAATTTTCCTTGGTTAAATATTTCTGCACTAGGAAAATAGAGACATTAAAAAAAAAAACCCCAAAACTGAGCTTTGTTTCCTTCCCAAGAAGGAACCTTCAAGTGGAATGGTCATCCTTTTAATCCAGGGCTAGCACAAACATCAGCTTGGATGCTATTAGAATTCAGAAAAAGCAGAAAAGGAAAAAAAGAAGAGAAAAAAAGAAAAAAAGAAAAAGATGATTTCTGGTTGCTGTTCTCAGTGGGACAGCATGAAATTCAATACCACACAATGCCAGGCTTCCCAGCCCCACATCTTCAAGAGGTTTCACTGCAATTATTACTTTTTATTTCAATGCCACTGGTGAAAAACTCAATGAGGTTGACCCCAGGAGTGATCCTTAAGGATCCCCAGGAACAATCTTCCTCCAGCTCAGTGTTTTCCTTATTAAAAATGTTGGTCTTTAAAAATATACTTTCATTTTCCTAGCAGTAGCAGATTAATCCTGAGGACATGCACGAATTAAATTGATTCTGGAGCATAATTTCAACAGCAGTGAAATCATTTAATGGTCAGCAAAGGATGAAAATTCAGATTTGACCAATGTTACCAGGAAAAAAAAAGATGAGATGGGGGATGACAGATCACCAAAAGGAATTTTAGGAGGAAGATTTTATGAGCAGGCAGACTTTGAGAAGGGAATTAGAACAAAATTAGAGCAGGAGAATATTTAATAATATTTAATAATATTTAATATTAATATAATATTTAATAATCCACCTTCTGTCTCTAAGCACCCTGGACATGCTTTTATTGCCTTGGTTTCCTTCCATTTTGACTTCACCACTCCCAGATTTTATTTTTCCCAGAAAAACAAGAAAAAAACAAACAAACAAAAAAAAGCTTTGCCTTAAGCATTTATCAGCATCTGGATCCCCATGTGTAAAGACTTTTCCTTTCCTCAAGCACCTCTAGGCTGATGGATCAAACTGCAGGAGCTGTCAGAGCCAGCTCTAAATACTAATACTACACTAAATATTTCCAGATAATCGCATTTATCCACACATAAATATAATTTATACATCACAGGCACAAAGAGGGGGAGATTTTGATGCACACACAGACACACACACGAGTGTCTGCTTTAGGGAATAATAGTGAGAAGGGAGTTAAAATACTGATACAGATTGTCAAAACATTATCTCAAAATCAAACTAGCATTATCATGCCAAAGGCAACACTTTATGCAGCACTTCCTCAAGAATTGATGGAGTTTTTTGAGTTTTGGTTTTTTTTTTGGTCCAGAACTTTCTTTTTCCTCTCTTGAAAATAAATATTTTTGAGGTGTGCTTTTCAAAATTTGCTGGATGAACTCAGACCTCAAATAACAATTTGTTTTCTATGAAAATACACATTCTGTTCAAGCAGTTACATTACAGGTATAAAACTCTAGATGAGTCCAAACCTTTAAAGAATACATGGTTTTTCCTTCTGCAAAACAACTGCATGTTTTGTCTTCCCCCAAAAATACAGTTTAAGCTGGTGAAAAACAAAATTACTTTGGAAATTGATTTGTATTGATTTGTAGATCAATATCAAGGATAAATGTTAATAAAGAAGAATCTTAGGAATTTGATCCGTCATTCCTAACCTTGGTTAAGTTCCTGCCTTTAAAAACCCATTTCTGGGCATTTTTCTCTATTTTGTCTCCTCTAATTTTGGGAGCAATTGAGTGATGTGACATATCACTGGCACACCTGGAAAAATTGGTCTTATAAACACTGAGTTAGAGAGCCCTGAACACAAAACAAAACAAGTGTAAATTTGGTAAATCTGCTAAAGAGGAGGGTGAATGGAGTGAGGATTAAATCCAGAACTGCTCATGCAGTGGTGGCAAAAACCTTGGCTTTTCTCAGAGACAACCAAGCAACACCAAGTATTAATTTAGTAAGCTTTAAGAAATCATTTTATGAGGCATTACCACAGGGTTCCCTTCCCAAAGAACAGGAGTTAATTTGAGATAGATTTCACCTGTCTGGGTGAGTTGGACCATGAATGAATTTAAAGACAAAGCAGAGATCCCCACTTCTCTCACAGACAAATGCACTTCCTGAAGAATTTTCACTGATTTCCTGCAGTTTTTGCAGGAAAAAAATACCTCTGCTCTCACACAATGACAGGCCCACACAGACCTGAACTGATTCGGAGTTTGGTGGATTTTTCTCTGTCAAAGTTGATTGGAAAATGGAAATTAAAAAAAAAAAAAAAAAAGTAGTTTTTCAAATAAATCTTCAGAAAGGATTTCCCCAGGTTGGAGACACTGCCAGGAGGTGTCTGAGTGTGCAAACAGCCCCAGCTGGGTGGGAAAGGGCTCAGCCCTGCCCAGCTGAGCTCACAACTGAGCTCTCACACACCAAGGGCTGCATCTGCGTCCCCCACCATGGAATCTTCTGTTCAGCTCCTGGCCTGACTCTGCAAACCCCAAAAAATCCAAAAAAAAACCCCCCCAAAACCACAAAAAACCCTCAAAACCCAAAAAACAACGACAAAAAACTAAACAAAAACCAAACCAAAAAACCCCAAAAAACACAAAAAGCTCCAAAAGACAAAAAAAAATTTCAAAACCAACAAAAAATGCATCAAAGAAAACTCTACATGAAAAAAACAAAAACAAACCAACAAAATAAGCCAAAAAATGAAAAACCAAAAACCACAAAAAACCCAAACAAAAAAAACCAAAAAAAACCCAACCCAAAGCAACCCAAACCAACCAAAACCAAAACCAAAACCAAAACCAAAGCCAAACAAGAAAAGCACCAAAACCAAAACGCAGAAAAATTAAAGAAACAAAACAAAAAAAACCCCTCAACAAAATAAAAAAGGAGAGAACAGAATGAACACCCTCATGGACTTTACTACACGTGCCAACGGCGTGTAGCATTTCCCATTTGCAACAACAACATTTCACAATTAGAAACCCAGCAGTTTCCTGGAAGGGGGAGCTCTGTGGGATGTCCAGCTCCATTTTCTGCTGCAGGCACCATCAAGCCAAGCACTCTGGGTAAGTCATGGAACATTTTCACTTTAAAACTGAAACCATATACCAGCTTCTGCTGAAAGCATTGTCAGATCAGCACTGGAAGATTTTAAATCAGGCTGTGCCTATGAATGGGTGCATGAATGGCTCTTTTGTGGCCCTGCCACTTCCCAGGCACAAAGGCTTTTTAGCAAGCAAAATATTTTGGCCATTCTTATTTTTGCTGTGTGATTTATAACACTGTCCCAAAGCCCTTTGTGAATTTAAAACGCTGTGACTGTGGGGTTTTTTTTTCAGAGAGGAATGGTTAAATATAATATTCCCAGATCCCCATGTTCTTGTATGAAGCCTGCAAGTACTGACAGGGATGCTTTTAATTGAGTATAGGATGGAATTCTGGCAGAATCAGAGCCACTTCAAAAATATAAAGTATTTTACCAAAGAGCTTTGCAACCCACAGAGCACAGAGGATTTCAAGGGCTGACTTCAGTGGGATTCCTCTTGCAGAAAGAACTGGAGCCTTCAGTCTTAAGCAAGGACGGATTCAGGTCCTGAAAATGCAAAGCAGAATCCTGAGGTCCACCTTTAGCTCTTCTCTTTGGGCACTGAAAGGTAAATGCATGTTAACTTTGTCTTTTTGGTGAAGATTTAAATCTAAATTAATGCATCAGTTTGGGGCAAGACAAGCTCAGGCATTAAAGCACTTTGGTAACTACTACCTTTATTCATAATGTCTAACAAATAAAGACAAATTTGGTTTATTTTTTCAAATGCATTTTATTTTTCTTCTTTTTTTTTTTTTTAAGAAATTGCCATAAGGAAATAGATGAAGTATCAAAAATCACAATTTTAAATGCTGTGGGTTTCTACAGAAAGTTAAAATAAGAGTCAATATCAACCTTACTAGCACTGTACTCCCAAAAGCTGGAATACCTTACAATGCACAGTGCCACAAGTAAAAGGACATTTTGCTTTGACCCAGAACCAATCTAAAGTCACACCTGCACCTCCAATAAAGCTGATTTATCCATTCCAAGCCTGGGGAAAGGCTGAGCTCAGTGCAGGTCTGGCATCACCTCATGCCTGGGGCCTGGGAAATGGTTGATCCTGAGCACAGCCAGAGGCTGTGAGGATGCAAAAACTCATCCAAAATGCCCTCAATTCCCCCATACAAGTGAGAAAAGCTCCACCAAGAGCCTAAACTCAATTTTGGACACCCATAAATGAGGCGCAGCAGGCCAAGGCCTGCAAGAAGCGTGGCGCAGGAGGGTTCAGGGCCTCAGAGCAGAGATTTTGGCTCTGTTCTGTAAAAAAAACCCCTTTTAGTTTATAATTGATCCGTGCTGGGAGCAGCAGCGTCCCTGTGGCCGGCCCACCGTGGCTACATGTCCTCCAAGAGCTGCCCTGGCTCGCAGGAGTTCTCCAGGGTCTCCAGATCCCAGTCCGGGCAGCGCTGCCCCGAGGAGGCCGGGCCAGCCCTGGAACAAACAGAGGAGGTCAGACAGGGCTGGAAACAAATGCAAGCAATTCCAGCGTAGTTTGGGGTGTTTTTCCTAAGGGGAAAGTGGTTTCTGTGAGGCCTAATCACTCACTGAGGTGGCCGTGGCAAAGCAGGCAGAGGAGATTCAGTTTGTAAACTGTATATATTATTATACTATATTATTATATTATTATTATATATTTATATAAAATTTTATCTAAAAATAGTTTAGACATTTATACTTATGAAAAATATATATTTATATTTATATGTATAATTATAGGCATATTTATATCTCATACAACTGCGTACATAATATATTTTTTCATAGACATATAAATAAATAGAATATAATTATAGTTTTATATTCATATTAAAATTTATATTAAAAGTTTATAAATTTATATTTTATAAAGTATATACTTATATTTACATTCATCAAAATATTTATATTTATATAGCTGTATAAATAATTTATATTTTTACATAAAATATAAATATTTTATATAAAATATAAATGAATATAAGTATATTTATTTTATAATATATATTAATATATATTTATATATTTTATATGTAAATATATAAATATATTTCTATTTATAGTTTCATATTTATATAAAAAATTATATTGAAAACAGTTTATGAATTTATATTTATATACACTATATATTTATATATATTTTATATATAAATATATATACACTTATATATATAAGTGTATATATACTTATATATATGAGTATATATACTATATATTTATATTCATTATTACACTTTATATTTAGAATTTATATAAATAATTTATATTTTTATATAAAGATACAATATATATAATATATTTCTATTTATGGTTTCATATTTATAGAAAAATTTATATTAAGAGTTTATAAACTTATATTTATAAAATAGAAATATTTATTATATATTTACATTTATAAAATATAATTATTTATTGATAGTTTATTTCTATATTTCATATGAATATATAAATAATATATATTTTATATATAACTATATAAAATAAGTATCTATATAAATAGAATATATTTATATTTATAGCTTTATATTTATATAAAAATTTATATTTAACAATATTTTATACATGCACAGTTAGAAGTTTTTCAAACACCCTGAGAATGACCATTTCACCCACAGTTTCCCCATGGAGAGCTGGGAAGAGCAGCCCAGATGCAGAAATCGTGCTAAGAGACCACGTTCCCTATTTCTGCTCTCTCTCCAGGACATGATTCCAGTACAGACAGCTCTGCCCTTCTGCCTTGGGAAGGTGATGTATCCTGTGTTTCCGGAAAACACCAAACAAAGTGGCATTTCCAACAGCTTCTGCTGCCTATAGGAATTACGCTTCTATAGGCTGAATCCACAAAAAAAACTTTCAAAAAAAACCAAAAAAAACAAAGAAAAAAAACCCACCACAACCCCCCCCCCCCCAAAAAAAAAAAAAAAAACCCAACTGAATCCTGCAGAGAAATCTTTTTTCCTGTGCGTTTGGAGGGGATTTATCAATCACAGAGGTGTGAGTTTCCAGTGACAAGGAATTCCAGGGACCAGCATCAGTCACTGCCTTGAAAATAGGATGTGATCTCCTAAGCTTGGCTCAGGACCTGGCTGCAGCTTCACAGGGTTCCTGCCCAGGTTGGTTACACTGCTGCCATGCTGACAAAAAAGGTGAAAATTTCATGTATTGCCCAGGATGGGAAGAGCTGGAGAGAAGGGGTGGAGAGTTCTACCCTCCAGTGGTGCCCTGTGAGGACTCAGGGAAATGAAGCACACAGTGAAATTTTAATTTTCAGACTGATTCAAGCATCTTGCCTTCAGCTGCTCTGTGTGATAAAGTCAGCACTGTTGGTCAAATTAATGAATTCTTTTCAATTTCCAGAACCCAATTTTTCCATAACTCCCACCTAGGAATCTCTAGGGAGCAGAAGTCTCTACAAAAAATGTCAATTCCAAAGGGGAATGAGCTCTCTGAGGCAGCAGGCACTGTGTGGCTCCCACTTCCAGCTGCTCAGAGCTCTGATCATTCTCTGTTTCCTGGGGGTGGGAAATGAGCTCCATTCCATCCCTGGGGGCTCCAGGGCAACCAGCAGAAGTCCTGTAAATGCTGAGTTTTGAATGCTGCCACTTCCAGAATCCAGAAGGGTTTCCTCACCCCTCCAGCTCTGCAAACCCCTCTAAATTCAATATATTCCTATATTTAGATTATGGTAATTACTTTCTCTGAAAGTCTAACGAGCTTTCTCTGAGAACTCTTCCAAAACACTCTTCTTCAGGCCTGAATACATCATGCCAAGCATCTTTTATATTCCTTTTGGCATGCAGTGACACCCAAACAGATATTTGCCTCACCAAAAAGTCACTGGGATTAGCTGTGAAACAGACCTGGATCCTCCACCAATGACCTCAGAGCATCCCACACTGCTCTGGTGGATAGAAATCAACTTATTTAAAAATAAAATACAGGCACCAAGCCCCAGCAGAGGGATTTCAGGTTCAATCACTGGAGGTGTGTTGTCCTTTTACCTCTGTGGGTCCATCTCCAGTGAACCACAGAGTGTGGAGCCACCCACTGATAATTTAAATTAATTCTGAAAGGTCTCATTAGCAAATAAATTAGGCTGTGGAGGCCTTTGTGCCACCACGGGATATTTCAGGTTTGGTTGCTGTTTTTATTTTTTTTTTTTTTTTTGAGCATTTGCTCATATATTATTCAGGCATAAAAGAATTAAAAGGCCTCTGAGACCCCACATTTGTTGGCTGTGAGGTTTCAGCAGTTCCAGAGTTTTCTGATTTGGACAAGGAAGCCTGACAGGGCTTAAGCAACGTCAACAACCATTCCCTTCTCATTGGCTAAAATAACACTTTTCAACACCATCCATGAGAGCACATCTTTAAGCCAAGCCACTGTTGAGTCTTCACATTGCACAGTGAGAACTGTTAAGCTTCTGTGTCCTTGTAACAACACGGGCCTCTTTTAATCTCCAAAAAGCTGCCTCTGAATAAACCCAGCCCTGAATAAATCCAGTGCTTGCAGAGGGGAGGCACTGGGCTCTTCACACAAAGCTCATCAGCAACTTAGTTCTGGTTTCAGGGCTTGGTGATTCCCACTTGCATGGCAGCTGCTCACTGAATGCCAGCAGCCTGCTTTGTGCTGTGAAATTATTTTGGATTTCTCAGGGAGGCTGTATTACCATATCCTGACACGTAACTGAGTTAATTTCTGTAAATTGCAGCGAGTTGCACAGCCCCCTCTTGCCAAGAAGCCTGTAAGCAAGGCATTCTTCCTCAAAGTTTATTCTTCTGCTGGATCTCTTTTTGAAGTCTTGCCTTTCGGTAAACTTAAACTCCATTACACATCTGGAGAACTGCTGACTATAAGAGATCATTCCATATTTCCTGGCATTTAGTTCATAAATTAAGGCAGAAGACTGGACCCACAGCTGGTGTGAATCACTGCAGCACTAATAATGTCACTGCAGCTCTGCTGACTTACACCAGCTGAGATGCTGGCCCCAGAACTGGAAGAAAGTGGTTTACATGACTTGATATTTCCTTCCAGAGCTGAGCAGGGGTCCTGAGGAGCAGGAGACACGCAAGGCTCTCCTTACAGGAGCTCAGAGCCATGGCTCTGCAGAAGCTGCACCAAAAATCACTTTATTTTCTGGGCAGAGAAGTGTCCTTGCACTCGGCTTTGCCTCCAGAGCCAGCCCAGCACACTGTGGTTATGATTCCACCCAAGCTTTTGTCCTTGAGCAACTCTCATGGGGTTTGGAAAGAGAAGAACCTTTGCACAACAACGTGGATGGAAAGGTTTCCTAAGAAACTTGAGTAATCCAGGATTGTGCCTCTGAACCACTGCAGTATTTCCTTAATTTTTTTAGTAATTAAAATAATTGCTTCCAACCCTGAGCTGACATTTTACCAAGAGAGGGGATCTCAGCTCTCACCATCTGAGTTTCTCAGTGCCCTCATCCTTCCCCAGCCCGGTTTAATGCTTCATTTGGACATGAATCTTAATAAAATCTTAATACCATGAGCAGAGAAAAGCAGAGGATAAAACCTGATACACGCTTTCTTCACTATCATAAAAATAGGTGCCAGCAGCAGCTCCTAGGCAGAGAATTACTGCAGCATTAACACAGATATCTCCAATTCTTGAGGCTCCCACTGAGGCTCATGGCTGCAGCTGAAACCTTGGCCTGGAAGAACCAATGCCCCGTGGAGCTCAGAGAGATCCTGTCTGCCTGTGGCTACTGGGCAAGGAGAGGAAAGTTAACCACAGAAAGGAAAACCAAAGGGGGCACGGAGGAGCAGGGGGGGAAAGCCTCTCACATGAAGCGATGCACTGAGAGCACTCCATGCGGACAGAGATCTTTAGAATGGAGCATTAAAAATGTGGGTAGGCTAAACGGGAGCTAGATGTGAGTAAAAACATGATGGAATTCCCCCTCAGAGATATGCTAGAGTCACTCTAAGGTAAATTATAGAGGCATTTTTCTTAAAATTCAATGTAGAATGGAAAAAGAAAATAAAATGCTTTACATTTTGGCAGTAGTAAGAGTTTTCAGCTTCCAGATATAGTTTTTGCTGGCATTTATTCCAAGAAATGATATGAAAGCAGGCCCATATACTTCAAAATAATCCTGCAAAATGTAAATCCCACCAAGTCTTGAAGAACTTGCTGAGTACATTCAGCTTCATGACTTGAAATTAGAGTTGAGGGATTTTCCCCTAATTTGGTGAAGAAGCTGAGATTTTTTTGTGTCCATCTGAAGAGAGCAGTGGTGTCAGAGATCATCAGAGCCCAATCCATGCCTGGCCCCAAGACAAATTCATAGAAAGTAGAGAAAAATACTCAGGAAACAGCTAAATAGAACAATTCCATGCCTGGCCTTGCCCCAAACTCTGTGTGTCGAGCAAGTCCAGTCTCCACTGAGGTCACCAGACAGACAATGACAACACCACCAATAACAGTAA